TTGTATCATTGATTTTAGTTGATTTTATCACAGATTTTAGTTGATTTTATCACAGATTTTAGTTGATTGTATCATTGATTTTAGTTGATTTTATCACAGATTTTAGTTGATTTTATCATTGATTTTAGTTGCACTCTGTAGCACTTTGAGATTTTTGTTAATGAAAAGTGCGTTACAAATTAAATTCATTATTATTATTATTATTAATATTATTAGCATTAGCCAGGCGGAAATGGCAAAGTCGCACATGCGCAGTCAGGTCAGTTTTTCACCATCAGAAAAAATGAACAGATCAAGCGTTTACATGCGCTCCGATCGGGTTACGGATCGTTGTAAACCACCCGTTTCATTCTGATCACAAATTATATCGATCGCGCCGAATACACAAAAAATAACCCGAACGGAGTGTTTACATGACACACTTTTATTCCGACCGGCCATTTGATCCGGTTACTTATGTCCATGTAAACATACTGATTGTGTTTAACCCTAGGTCTTCCACTGTCACTGATCCTACAAACCTGGACTCCCTTCAGCCATATCTAAAACAGTCTGTTACCAATCTCGGGATAGTTTTAGACTCGGACTTAAAGTTTAATAAGCAGATAAATGCTGTTCTTCAAAAAAGCTTCTTTCAGCTTAGGCAGATGGCAAAGCTCAAGTCCGTGCTGTCAGATCCGACCTTGAAAAACCAGTCCATGCATTTATTACAACCCGGCTGGACTACTGTAACTCGCTTTATGCTGGGGTCAGTCAGGTCTTTCTCTCTCACGTCTCCAGCTCATCCAAAATGCTGCAGCTCGGCTACTAACAGGAACTGGCAGGTTTGAGCACATTACTCCAGTTCTGTCCTCTCTTCACTGACTTCCTGTGCGTGTCAGAGTTGATTTTAAGATTCTTCTGCTGACATTTAAGTGTGTTAATGGCCTTGCACCCTCATACCTCTATAACCTCCTTCAACCTTATACTCCTTCTCGGGCCTCGAGATCATCAGACCAGCTGCTTTTGGCCGTACCTAAAACCAGTTGAAGCTCAGAGGAGATCGGGTGTTTTCAGTCATGGGCCCTAAACTCTGGAACAATCTGCCCATCAACATTCGACAGGCCACCTCAGTCTCTATTTTTAAATCTCTCCTCAAAACACATCTGTACTCACTGACACATCTGTACTCATTGGCATTTAACAGTGTGATCTCATTTGGTATTTCATTGTTGATGATTGTGTTCATCCATTTTGCTTTTACTCCCTGACATTTAACGCAGGGTGATTTGATTTAGTATTTTATTGTTTATCATTAAATTTGTTTTTATGCTTTTATTCATGTTGCTGTAATATGTTATTAATATTTGATGCTGTGATCTTTTTTGGTAAGCACTTTGATAACAGTTACTTTTTTAAATGTGTTATACAAATAAATGTGACTTGACTCGACTTGAACAGCTGTGGGAGACTGTAAAGATTTTCTGACATTAACAATGTACTGCTGATCAGATTTCTGGTTCTCGTCCATTTGTCCCAAAGATTCATTCCACACGCTTAAGCAGTGAACTATGTGACAGTAACGTGTTGGCTTTCTTTGCTGCTCTTTCTGCAGCTCGTCAGCTCCGTTTGGCTTTCTTGATGCATTCCTGGAAAGATACCCTGGACTACTCCTCCAACACAATGGAGTCAGCCATCCAATACGAGAAGTTCATGAATGTAAGTGCCAGTAAGATGGAAGATAACCCTCGAGTTCTCTTGAGATTGTTTCGAGCAGCTGTTTATATCTTCTCGTTTATCCAACAGGAATTCTTCCTCAACGTGAAGGACATTCTGCGCGCTCCTACAGACTTCACTGGTCGCTTTGAGAAGTGGGAGTCTGCAGAAGTGGAACTAAACAGCAGGTGAGGCAGCAAAGTAACGAAGTGTTGGAAATTCACATGGTTCAACTGCAAAATGTTTCTATACAGAACAAAAATATAAACGCAACGCTTGTGTTTTTGCTCCCATTTTTCAAGAGCTCACCTCAAAGATCTAAAACTTTTTCTTTAAACACAAATAACCTTTTACTCTCAAAAATCATTAAAAGATTTTTGAACATCTGTGCACTTGTTCTTTATCAAGATAATCCATCCACCTCACAGGTGTGGCATATCAAGATGCTGATTAGACAGCATGATTATTGCACTGGTGTGTTTTAGGCTGACCACAATAAAAGGCCACTCTAAATTGCACAGTTTACTTTTACTGTATTGGGGTATTGTATGTATTTTGCATATCAAAATAGAAGTCGCTAACTCACTTATTTTTCAAGTGTTCATGCTCACAACATGCACAGACAGTCAGATTGAAGGAGGGTATTTCCAATTCCTCCTCTACTTTAAGTTAGCTCCGCGATGGGGAACAAGAAGAAGAACTGAAGCTGAAAATAATAAAACTGTAGTAAATTTAAACAGTTAAAGTAGCACAAGGTATGCATAAACAGTATGATTGCAAAATGAACAGAAGAAATTATAAACAGGAAAAAAAAACACATTCACATTAAGATCGAGCAGTAAAATATTGTAGATGGTTTATTGATTTCATCCTATTTGATGACAGGATTTTTAATGTTATCAACTCATTACAACTTTGTATTTTGGATTGTGAGTGTGCCTCATCCTTTATCATAATACAACACCCTCTTTACAGTTTGTTATCCTGTGACTGCAGTTAGAATAATCTTCATTATGACTTTATGAGTTACTGTGAGTCAAAGCAGAAGCCACCCTGTTTCTGTTTCACTGTGATGCTCCACAAGTGAAGACCTGTGCCTGTTTTCAGTCACTCTGATCTGAAGACCCCACCCATAAAGAGTCGGCGTGTGTGTGTGTGCATGCGTGTGTCCTTTTCTGTCCTGTGGGTTTAACCTTGAACACACCATCAATGATGCAGCGTTAGGCAGGTGGGAGAGGACGTTCAGAATTACAACAGGTGAAAAGCAGGGAAAGACTCTCCAAAACACTTAGAAATTATGATTTATTGACATGTTTATTTACATGTTTTAAAGATAAGTACATCATGTCAGTTGTTAACATCATCAGCAAGCATCTGCTGTTTTTTTTATTCAATGGTTCTATTGTTGTGTTTAACTTTGCTCGTATAAAACACAAGAATCTTTTTGTGTGTAAAGTAGATGTCCCAGCCGTGTGTTTTCTCTGCCAGATGAATATTTATGAATTTCTTCATTACAAATTAGTTTCAATTAGGCCAATCAAAAGTGGTCATTAATGTTAACTAAAACAGATTATCATAACATGATTCAGAAATCTCAAAATTAAATCAACTGTCCTTGAAGCAGCTTGTTTTGTTTTTTTAAATCTTGTATTTCAGACACATCTTTGTTACACGACTTTCTCCACTTTACACACAAAAACAGATGAACACATTAACGTAACTATGAATTATTCAGACCTAGTTATTATGTGAAAATGCTTAAAATACTTAAATAGTTCTGACTGAGCCTGCTGTTTTAATATAACAATACTTATACGTCAGATCTTATCTCCCTTATGATTCATTACATCGCTGACAGGAAACAGATCTGTCCTTACATAATCATTAACATCTCTTTTAGTTTTAAGACTTTGGAAATGGAAGCTCAATTTAAGAATTGTTTTATGTCATGAACAACTAATGCAGCATTTTATTTAAATCCCAAACTTAAAGTTCTTTACTTATTTCTATTCGCTGCTTATTATAAAGTGTTTTGAATTTTATTTGAACAAAGAGAAAAGCAAACTGCTAAACATCGGCTGCAGGTGTGGTCGGACTGTTACTGAATAAAATCAGTCACTTATCAGTGACAACACATAATGAATTAGTAAAAAGCTTCTCACAGCCCTCTGCGTCTGTTGCCTCTTTAATACATATTTCAGGTAAGATGAACGTGGCTTCAAAACGTAGCCAGTAATTCTGTTGAGACAGAATTGTAAATAAAAAGTGTGACAGTCTGTTTTGCGTGTCCTTGGTTCATGCAGAGTGTATAAATGTGTAGTTACATATGAGATAAGTTCCCCTGACCTTTGTGTTCTTGCCTCTCCTCAGCTGAGCCTCTGCCTCTGATGGACCTGTGTCGACGTGCCGCCCGCATGGCGTTGGGTCGGGACCGGCTGCAGGAGATCGAGAGGCTCCCTCTGCCCCAGTCCCTCAAAAAATACCTCCAGTACCAGTGACTGACACCAGTGGAGCCGACAGGGATCGGATCAGACCAGCAGGGAGTCAACAGTTGGACAGTGACACTGAATGATGTCCACTCTGCAGCGTGACTCTAGAGAAGGACAAACAGGACGACAGTGGATGAACTCAAAGAACTGGACCTCACCAGCTTCTTTTTTTAATTTCAGGCTGCTTTTTTTGTGTTTGTCTTTTTCATTTTAGACTTGAAGTAAATTATTGATGATGGCGTCACACAGTGTCTCTCTCATCTAGACTGAAGGTCCATCCTCTGATGGCTCAGTGTGGGTGAAGGTGGAAGTATTAGCAGCTAGCAACCACCGCCGCCTAGTGGTGGGAATAAAAAGTAAGCACACCAATCACATCCAAGGAGGCCTTTCTTTCATTACAGCTGCTGTATTCAGTGTCTGCACTGACACAGGCTGCAGAGTCTACAGGTTCAAGAAGGTTTTAGCACAAATATTGTTTTATTTATTTAAACTTTGATACCTTATGAGGATCGCACTGCATGCAAGAAGATCCAAACATGGCTGCAAGGTGTTTGTTTTAATGAGAGCTGAGCCCTTTTCAGACCTGTCTGTTCAAATACGGTTGTTGTAAAATTCCTGTTTGAAATGTTCATAATTTACAGTGTGAGCACTGAATTTAGCTTCAGTAAATTTTAAAACGAGGCTTTTTAAAATTTTTATTTTATTTCCCCGTAATTTATCCAGGTAGTCTCATTGTGTCACGAGAACTCATTTTCAAGAGAGACCTGTTTGGGAGCAGATGGTGGGGGTTAAGGGCCTTGCTCAGGGTCCCAGAGTGGGGCGAATGAGGGTGGAGGCAAGTGTGGATAAAAAAAGAGTTTGAGATCAACCACAAAAAGTGACATTTTTTCTTTTAATTCAAGTCATGATTAGTGAGTTACTAAATCTGGCGCACTGATTACAGAGATGATTGGAATCTACCCTCACTTTTAAAGTCCTGTGTCTGTAGAACAGAATTTTAATGCATGTTAAATGTAAGGACAGACATCCTTCAGGAAAACTTACAGTTGGAATTATTCATGTTTTTATTTGAGACATACTTTTGTTGAAATGGGTTTTGAATTATTATTATTATTATTTTGCCTTCTGTATTCATGTACCAAAAATGATTTGGAACAGTTTGAAAAATGCTAATCAGCCTCACCAGGACAATGTGGGCGTAGTTCTGTTCAAGGTTTGTGACGAACACCAAGCAGCAGCCCACAAACTGTTGGCACATTTACCACCGGTCAGGGAAGAGCCGCTCAGGAGAGTTTCAGTAAAATATTACCGTAGAAATGTCTGAAAGGGGCTTCAGTGCAGGAAACCAGACAGCACAAACCTGCTTTTTCTTGTTTTTTAACATCTATTTTTTAATGTGAGTTAGTGCGTCACTGCGCTGGGAATCATTCCTCACACGACACTAACTCATCTATGATGACGTCGGGTCACAACCAAAGGTTTTCACTCAGAGCTGTGTGCAGCCAGATGAGTAAGAGCGCATGTGGTTTTCTCACCACGTCAGCTCTTCTGTCGCTCATCAGTAGCAACCAGTGAGTCTGCTCCTCACTGGTTATATCAAAGTCACACAGCAGATCCAGACCCACTGGATCTCTGAGGAAGACTGGATGTAGAACCACAGCTGGGACGGTGTGTCACATCAGGATTCACATGACCAGTGCACGAACACACAACGTGTGCACACGACCCTGACGACCAATCAAGTTTTACTTCCTTTTAAATGGCTTGAGTCACTTTCTTTTTGTTGTTGTTGTTTTTTTTACTTCTGTTTGTATTTTTGGTTCTGACGATGGCAGGATTCTTATTTATCACGAGCTCGTCGTGTGTTTGTTTTGTTACACTGATGGTTACATTCAGGTCAATTTATTATGCTGACGATGAAGTTAGAGAAAAGTGAATATGTTTCTTCAATGCTGCTTTTGTTATTATATTAATATTATTATTATTAACAGTGATGGTCTTACCTCCTGTTTTTCTTAGTCAGGATGAGGAGAAAAGGGACCGTTTTAGGAGAACGGTGGAGTCAGTCAGCAGATGCTGCAGCTCAATCGTCGACATATGAAATGTGAATAAAAGCCAAGTGACATTAAATTGATTCTTCACATTCTTTGCTTTATCCACTTCCTCTGAAAAAATAAGGCTGCAACAACACAACAGATTATTTTTAGATGATGGATGTCTTACAGGTGTGTAAATACCTTCGAGATTTAAAGCAAACCACTGATGGTTCATCTGGGGATTAGAAGGTTGCGTCATCTTTCATATAGATGCAGACTATTTTAATTTGATTAGAATTTGATTGATTAGTAAAACTTAGCTGTAAATCTTTGTAAATTATTTTTTGCCGGTTGTGTATAGTTTTCATTTAAGAACGTCCACAAAAGTATTTAAATCAAAGCTTTTCTTTGTTATTTGCAGCTTAAAATACAACTCAACACACAGAACTGCGATGACATCCTGTGAGAACACCACAGCTTTGTGTTTTATGATATTTTCCACTTTATCCGAGTCTGACTGGAACACGTGAGCGCTCTATCCCACCTCTCTGAGCATACAGGGGATTTATAACTAATGTAGATCAACAGACGGTCTTGATGCTCCCACATCCTCTTCCTGCAGTCGACTAACAGTTCTACACGAACACATCCTTGTTTTTATAT